CAACCTTTCTCTGAGTGTCAGCCAAAAATGATCAGTCTCAGCTGTGGATCGGCCAATCTCACTCATAGATGATCGGTATCGGCGGCAAAAAAACATCGCGCCATCCCTAATTTCCATGCATGTGTAAAGCACTTTGAATTGCCTTGTGTCTGAATAGTGATATATAAATAAACTTGGCTTGTGCAGAAGAAACTGAATTTGAATGATTAAATAAAATTCTACCAGAGTCCACCCAAAGTCTCACCCCTTCTGGACCTCTATGTTAGCTGATGTTGCTTAATACCTCCCATGTTTGTCCTCAAAGGTGCAAATGTTTTCCTGCTGATTGCAGTTGTTTCTTTTGGGGGAGAACAAGTAAACTTTAGGTGACTGGGTTGTCAGATTGGTTGTAATGAAAACACTTGGTTAGCACAGCTTTTCTTGGAAACAGGGAGGCTGGGTGGTCTCAGTGAAGAGCTGATCGTATGGGGGATGTTTTGGTAGAAACTTTAACTGCAGCTACACAGTTCTGGGAAACAGTTTCAGGATGGTCCACCTTCAGTGTAAACAGCTTCTCTCTGGAAGCAGATTAATCTCTGCAAAGCACAAGAATGGGGAAAGTAAAGAATTGTATTCCCAGCAGGCATCCATCCATTTATCTATGCTCATCTGACCATGAGCTTATCTGACTCTTCATTCAGTCTAAGAGCAGCAGCAGCAGAGTGTGTGAGTGACGGCAGCGACGGTGGGTTTGTCCTACATAATGACTTAATTGAGGTGGTTAACACTTTGAGGATAATGAGAGCCTCTAGACCACAGCAGACCCAGGAGCAAGAGCTCAGAAATGGAGCAGCGCGCACGCACGCACGCACACACACACACGTACACACACACACACACACACACACACAGAGGAAATTGATTATTAATAGCAGTACTCAGTCTCAGCAATGCAGGTCCATCCATTTTCTGTCTCTGTGTGACTCAAACACACTTCACACAATTACAATCAAATAGATGCAAGTGGACAATATATGTTAATTTAATTTGACCAACACACACACACACACCAACAACAACGACTGAAAGTTAGAACACCTGACCTGCTCAGTTTCACCTCATTTGCTCACAGGACATGTGCCTCAGTGTCAGTGAACACAACGCTGCGCAATTTTTTTTTCCGAGATCGAGAAATGTAAATTTGAACATCTACACTTCCATGACAACCAGGAAAAATCCATCTCCTGAACCACTGACACTGAAGGAATCCAAACCAGGAGAAGCTGACAGCCATGATGGTGAAGACAACAACTTCCATAATCACACGCTATTTCATTATGCCACCCATTGTTACTGTTTTGATTGAGAGACCCCAAGAGGCAGAAGTTACATACTGTGCGCTTAAAACGCATACTGTGCGTTTCTACAATCTTTCAAACTTGGGGCTGATTCACAATTTTAAAAAAAAGGCAACAATTTTAAAACGTGACTGAAACATCACATTATTAGGACTTCATGTGCAAAGTAGCTGAGAATTAATAATAAAAGACCTGCACCTGCAAGGCTGTCATCATTCTGAACATTCAAAACACAGCTATGGACTGACTGTCACCATGAAACTCTTCAACAGACGGGAGCTCGGGCGTCCACCGTAACTGTCAGCAGAGAGGTCCACACTCTAATTCACCTGCTACTTTTAGTTTCCTGACAAGACATCAGTCTGATATTTGCAGACAGCTACTAGCTAGTGTTAGCCTCCCAGCACCGACACACAGCCAACCAAATCAAATCCAGACTTTTCCAACCTGATCAGAAATGGCAGAGTGTTTGTCCATGTAACCACACACACACACACACACACAGACACACACACACACACACAGGCCCATCAGGGATCGATGGTGAAGGCGTCACATTACCGCTAATGTAATCAGCAGTTTACCACTGGGAGTAATTACAGAGCAAGCATGAGGCCTGCAGGGATGCAGAGAAGCAGACGTTGCCTGCAGCCAAGCACCAACGAGCAGGCACATCAGCAGCCTGAAATACCACCTGCACCAGCCACCTCTCCAATGACACCACCAGTCTTGTCTAGAGGGGGACATTTTGAGCCCCAGACTCTTCGTGTCTCATCCGACTCGCAGCAGCCAACTGGGTTTTTGGGAGAGAATGGTTGCGCAGTAAAACAGCAGCTGGTTACCTGCCAGAGCAGCTGCTGGAGGAGAAGAAAGGCGAGGGCACCCAAAGTCCAACTTTCCCAAAATAGAAACACTGTCAGACATGACAGCACGCACACACACACACACATCTTTTGGAGGCTCATGTCTACACTGAGCGTGAGGTCAAGATTAAGAGGGTTAAAGTCAGGACACAGGAATGACAAAGACGATGGGAAGAACAGTGGAGGCGGCAGATTTAGAAAATGTTTGATCACAATAAAGCTTCTTGTGTTGCATTGTATTGACTGAAGCTACAGGGGCTGAAAGACAATAAGAAGTAGAATTACTGCCTCCTCCACTCAGACTAGTTTCAGGTTACATCCCTGTTTATCCAGAGTCAGAGAAAATATGAACCATTTGTGTGAAATTCTGTCATAATTGCTGTGAAGTCTTACGTAATGTCTAAAAAGTGTTTCATGAGGTCACACTGCCCTTGACCTTTGACCATCACCATCATCTAATCAGTTCATCCTTGAGTCCAGGTGAACATTTTTACCAAATTTGAAGACATTTTCTCAAGGCGTTACAGAGGTACTTCATTCACAAAGCCATATATAACCAATCCAAATATGGGAAAGGCATTTCTTATTACCAAAATGTTTTTATTATGCATTTATTTATGTATTTAATTGTTTATTTCAGCATTTACCTGTTTATTTATACTGATGTCATTTTTTGTCCTTCATAGAAGTGGATTGCTCTGCAGTTAACTACAATAGCTAACATAGCAAGCTAACTTCTGCATTTACTTCCAGGCAGACACAAGACACAAGTCACATGAAGTATATTTGGAAAGCCTTGGGAGGTTCACGCTGCTTTCTCTGATATAGTTTGTGTTTTCTTTAGCAAAGTAAGCATGATCCATAGTCAGACTGAACATAATTATCAGAATGAGACCCAGGTAAAAAGAATAAATATAAATGAATCATTTACATCAGTAACTATTTGATATCAACCTCTGTTGAGCTGAAATCCATCTGATGCAGTGAACAAATTGTGGGGAAAAAAAAACAGGCCTGAAAAAGCATTCTGGTGTATTCTGGTAAAGTGACCCATTTGTTAAAATCCCTCAGAGGCTCCCTGACTTCTCTGCAGAGTTTATCCAGTTCACTGATGTTCCCTCTCTGGAACTCATCTCCACAAATTCCATGATACACCAGGAAAAAAGCTGCATTCCATAAAGAAGTCAACAGTTTCTCCCAAGCGATTAAAAGTATTTAAAGGCAAAAGAAGAATTAATGATTCACAGTCTCCTGAAAACTCACACTCCACAGTTGACCATAAATGCTACGATCAGCTTCTAAATCCTTGTCCTCATCTAAATTTGCAGAAACCAATGTTTGCAGTTAATGTGATGTCGACCTGTGAAATCAAAACCTTCTTCAATGTCCCGTCAGTTTGGGAGAGAGAGAACAGGACTGAGCCCAAGGTCTAGACGCATGTAACTTTTATATATTGCTGTTTATGTAACTGCACAGTCAAGTAATGCAAGCAGCAGAAGAGGAGCGGCGCTGCTTGGCTGCACTGCATGAACGGCAAAGATACAAGGTTATGATAATAAAGTTTTTGATAAGAAGAAGCTGTATAATTTACAACTTTGTGCTGTTAGCGTGCAAGCTCCCACTGTTTATGTTTACAACCCTACTCGTATCATTTCCTGTGCCTGCTTCTCACCATGGCATGTGAGTAAATTTCACCTGGCTCATCACGGTCTAACTCCACTTTACACTGTGCACAATGACAGTGAATGTATCACTGACCTTGTAGTTTCATTCAACACAAAAGCGGCAGCTGTCGGTAACAGCATCTCTAATTAACTGAAACACTGACAGTAAACACAACACAGGGTTTCCAGCAGTGTTTTATAGAGGAGGAGCTCCACATTCCCTGAGATGAAGAGCACTCGCCACATCCTCTGATCAGGTCCCTGAGGGGAAACTTTGCAGTACAACATCTAGCTTTTACAGGTTTTTCCCATATTATCTGGCGCCATTTTATTTGCAACTGCCCTTACAAACTAGGGTTGCAATTTGGGATGAAGTTAATTATTAATTTCATCATCATAAACCTGCTGATTGTTTCAGTCAGGCAGTCTTCAGTCTACAGAGATATTAAAACAGAGAAAAGAACAGAAGCTGAGTGGCTTGAACCAGATAATATTTAGTGTGTCTACTTGATAATTACATTACCTTATATTTTCTATCAGTCAAATAATTAATTGATTTATTGTTTCAGCACAAGTTAATTTTTTTTTTAAATCCATTGTTTTGAGGCATTATTTCTGCGGTTCCAGCTTCTGAAATTTGAATATTTTCCTATTTTCTTACTTTAATATGACAGTAAACTGAAAATATTTGGGGTCTGAACTATTGGTTGGAAAAAAAGATGTTAAAAGAAGAAAAGAGAAGTTACAATGGGCTTTGATAACTTTTTGTATTCTCTAACATTTAATAAACTGAGTGATTAAAATGTAAATCAAGAAATTACTAATTGCAGTTTTCCTAGTTTCAATTTGTGAACTACAGAAGTGTCAGGAAAAAAAACGTGAACGGTTAATAGTGCAACGTAAACAGGACTCCACAGGTTGAAGCATCACACAGACACAGCAGAAGACTGCAAATGCCACACTCAGGCAGCGACCATGAACGTATCACTGCACTTCTTTTTTTTGAACTTCAATAGTCGAGTCGTTGCTATAATTAGCCGAAACTGTGACATTAAACGCAACACTTACACACTGAAGTGTAGTGGGGTTTTTTTTTCAAACACACAGTCACTGTCACACACACACACTGAGCTTACCGGCTGGCATTCTAGTGCTAATGTACCGCAGTTCCTCTGTACGCCGAGCACCGATTGGTCCGGGGTTAGTTAGCCTCCATGTAGCTTCTCCTGCCGTTTCACTTCACCTGGCATCGGAATGACGACTCTGTGACAACAAATCACCTGTGTATGAGTTCACGCGACACATTTAACGGGCGTTTTAAGTCAAAACAGTGAGACGTTAACCCTCATTAACGGGCTAAAAGCTGCCCGCCGTGACACTAACGGACAATCCTGTAAAACACTGACTGTCTGCGGGAATTAGCCGCAGGAGCTAACGTCTCCGTTAAAAAAAAAAAGTCCAGACACTGCGGCGAGTTCAGGGTAGGGAAACACACACATGGGGAGACGTTAGTGAGACATTTCGGGGATGAACCGGTGGACATACCTGTAGGTAAACAGCAGCGGGACAGGTTAACTCCTACACATTACTACAGTGCTTCCTGCTTTACGGTGACAGACAACACGGAAGTGTGTGCTGCGGCGGAGCAGCTCCAAAAAACTCCCCCGCTCCGGTTCAACATATGCTGCCCCGCACACAGGGACCGTGGAGCGGCGGGGGGGCTAATTATAGCAGCCTGCGGCAAGGTGTGCGCTCCAGGATGATGAGGCTTGGACTATGAAAGCCCCTTTTCCCCTTCAGAAAATTTATGCAAGTACATGTGCAACAGTTTTAACATGACACCAACCATTCAATAATGTACACATTTGCTGCACTTGCATGAATGACTGGTTGACAGACAAAGGAGGGAGAGTGTTGAAGTTTCATGCAAAAGTTATGAGAGGGAGGGGGTGAAGGTGAGAGGGATTGGGTGGGGGGAGTCACTCCTGACCTGACACTGGCAGGTGGAGGGATGACAGGTGTTTGATTACTTTCAGGCAGTGTTGTGCCAGTTCACACTTAAAAAGAACAAGTTCAAAGTTCAGTTCATACAGATGAAAATGAACTAGTTCACATTCAAAGTTCATTTTTCAAATTTTGAACTAAGTTCACAGTTCCAAAAATGAATTAGTTCACGTTCATTTGTTCCGTTTTTTTAAAATAAATCGGCCACTATTCTTTTTCAATAGAACCTCCTTCACCCCATCCTTCACCAGCCCCAAATCATTGCCACTCCCAAACTAAATGAATTATTGTATAACACTGAAGAATCACAGACATGAGTTACATTTAAAATCCGTATATAGATATAATCCGTCTGAGTCTTCACTTGTTTGTTCATAAAAGTTCAAATGCTCAAACAAACTGGCTTCAGCAGTACTATGCATCTGTACCGCTAACACCAGCCTTGCCATTCACGTTCATCATTTGTAAACTGATTAGTTCAGTTCGGCGTTGAGAAGCAACAAAGGTCCCTGGCCAGACAGAAACTGGTGATGCTGTGGTCCATGTTTCCTCCTTTGGTGTTACCTCTTGCCCTGCTCTGCATGTCAGACACTGGCTACATCCACACTACTACGTTTTCATTTTAAAACTGCATTTTAAACTGAGACGATCTCCGTCCAGACAACCGCTTTTCCTATCAGAAACCATCCAGACAAACACACCTGAAAAAGCATACATATTCATTCATGTACACTGAGCAAACACTAAACACTGAACACTAAACAGGAGGCAGATTCTCTACTCTGCAGTTGATAAGTTGCAGAAAATACTACGAACAATCACGTTAAGATACAGAATTTAACTGCACAACAGCTGCTTGCAAAAACAAGGTCAGCAACACCTCCAATTTGTTATACATGTTGCTTTCACCACTGGTAATCAAAGCTGATGAGATCCAATAGCGACCGTGGGTGTCTACGTCATCGTTTGCAAAGATCTCCGTTTTTGCCCATCCAGATTACAACACAACCCTGGAGTGGACGGGAGGCGAAATGCAGCAAAAGAAATGCGTTTTAAAACGAAGAACGTACTAGTGTGGACGTAACTTTAACCTTAATTTAAGCCCGTCTTCTGAATTCAATAGAACCACTTAATGCATTATGTTTGAAAATCAAGAAGTGATTATTGTAGGGATATTTTTTTTTACCACCTTTTTGTGTAAAATATTGCGCTACAAGTCTACAAACTGCAGGACTGCTCTCTGCCCGGCGACAGTGTGTGAATGATCACTCTCTTCAGTATCTATTGAGCCATTATATCACATGCTGTTCCTCAGCTCAGTGTGGACTGACAGAAGGCTAATGTGGCTGCACCTTTAAGAACCATGAAGAAACTGTTCTGTGGATTATCCTAAGTAAAACAAGGACACTGTTCCTGGAAAGAGATGTTGCTGCTGAATTTTTAGAAATGTAAGTTTTCAGTGTTTCAGGCAGACCAAAAGTGCGTTCGGGGTCAAATGCAGTCTCCTGTAGCTCAGCTGGTTGATCAAACCAATATGACTGCCATGCTTATGCCTCATGCTAAATCAGTTCTGATTTATCAGTGTGTATTTACACACTCATGACGTATCTTATCTTGTTAGGGCCACTGGATTGTATCACAGACATGTACCACAGAGTCGCTTTAATGAGGAAAACAATTGGTCCTGCAGCATCACTAATGATGGCACAGGAGAATATCTTGTCATTAAGATCACCAATGAGACCAGAAATGTCCAACAGATGGTAATTATCCAGAACCTGACTAAAAATATCTCTCAGAGCTGATGTGTTAATGTGTGTGAAAGTACGCTGGTTGTGCTTTTTAAGCTCTTAAGGACCTTTGCTGGACTAGTCCAATGGACTTAGAGGTGATTAAAGGCTTTGGCCACACAGATGGCATGCCAAGCGTCGAGTAAAGTCAAATGACTGACAGCAGCCAGTGGCACCCCTGCCTGACAAAAAAAAAAAAACACAGAGAAAAGATCCTGTTTGTGTAATTACTCTAATGCAGGGATGTCCACATGTCACAGCTGTAGTGCAACAGAGGTGGATCTGCACACAGGCTTAAAATAAAGCTGCAGGCGGAAGCAGGGGGGGGGCATGCTGTCATTATTGACCAAACATCAACAGATTTAGCAGTCAGACGGCAGCAAGCAGCACTTCACTGTCTCCCATCAGACACAACATTGATATTATTTAACCAGGAAGGCCAAAATCTTATTGTCAGCATGATGTTGTCAGGAAACCTGCAGAGTGATGGTAGAGTATATTTTTTAAGTATTTATGCTAAGCTAGGCTACTCTCCTTTCCTTTTCTTTCTGAAGGTAAAGTTTGTTATGTAAAGTTGTTTTCCCCATGGAGATGTGACATCAGTTGATTCTGTGATTGTAGACTAAAGCAGCGGCAAAGCTTAGGAACAGGCACAGCAGACAAATGTTTGGGGCCCCAAGCAGTTAGGGGGCCCCTGAGGGCTGTCAAATTTATCATTTGCAGTGACATCCCTATGTCATCCCCTGGACAATTTGCAATGACATCTAAAGCTGCAAATACATACAAGATTATTTTTCATAAAATCTTAAAACAATTACATTAAACTAAACTGACTGTACCTACCTATATTTAAATTAGCTTTTGTGTGCATCTAACTCTAACACTCTAATATTATATTTGTATTTTGAGAATTCTACTAACAAGAACATTTGGGGGGAAAAAAAAAGATTACAAACATTTTTTGTGGTGTCAGATTATTTATTTCATAACGAGGATGAACGCTGATTGGAGACTCTGGAACGGCCACTTTGCTACAAGTGCTGGGCCAAGATTGGTATAATTTTCCAATGTTGTTTAGATCACTTATGGTATTTGTCTGGTGAAAATAATTAAAATCAATTATGTTAATGAAGATAAACTCCACCACTCAGCCAATCGTTACAGATGCAGTTTTCCTTCCTAATATTCCCCTGTATCTTCAGTATGTTGCTTGGGTTTTTTTCTAGAAGGTAATGCTTACTATATATCTTTGTCCAAAAAAGTACAAATTTCAGATAGGTAAAATGTCATCATTTTGTACTATGACAGAGTAATCTATGACAGAGTAATCTGTCATAGTAATCAGAGATGACTGATTACTGAATCATGTAATCAGAGAAATCTTCCTTTAAATGTCCCATATACGTAGTCTAAAGGTAGAAGTCCCATTGTTGTTTGATTATAGATCAGGTCTAGGTTCTATATTAATACTGTGAAAGTATCAAAGCCTCAGTCCACAGAGAAATGCTCACAGCCTGTATTCAGAAACTGAGCCTTAGAACCAGCTGTCAGCATTTCTGGAACTTTGTGATATCACAACAAAGCAGTCAACAAGCCCCGCCCACCTGGACCCACCGACCAACCTTGCAGGATTTGGTTTCTCTGAGTGTTTCCCTGAAATCTTCTATATTTTTATTGGATCACACAGAAAGCATTCAGCCAATCAGAAGAGAGGCTCAGAGCCTCCTCTCTTCTGATTGGCTCACTGACCTGTTGTTACTAGAGCTCCAGAAGGAAAGCCTGAGAGAGGAGATGTAAAACTACACTGAGATGGTTTTTGGTTCTTAAAACCACAAATATATCTTCTTATGGTTCAACACTTCAAATAAAACAAAGGAGAAGAGGGAAATATGGATCTTTAATATATCACCAAAATAAGTTGTATGAGTAAGATGCAGTGCGTAAGCTTTCCTCTGCTGCATAACATCAGCTCACATCTGGTCTTTTGCAAGTCATGTCAGTTCACTCAAAGTCCAACTGAGATTCTGCTGACTCACTGAGGGGAGACGTGTTCACTGATATTTATTCTTCTTTCAGCTCAGGAGCCATTGGTTTGTACTGATGCTAAGCAGAGTATTGACAAGTGTAATCAGCAAACAGTTGAAGTCAATGAGACGTTAAAACTGTCACAGTTTTCTCATTAGCTGAGTGAGGACCTGCTGATTGTCTGGCTGCTTTGGGATGTTTCAGTGCAGTAAGTGAGAACCAGTTTACATGTTGATGAGTGGGTTCTGTGAACTGACTGATTCTTGATCAGTCCAGGCTTCGGAAGACGAACTGTATTTCCCGTGTTTATGGATCAAAACTGCCGACAGCCGATCGATGGTGCAGAAACCTGTTGGGGAGCAAGTGTCTGACTGTGACTTGGCAGGCCACTCCTTTCCATCCCATTTTCTACAAAAATTCAATGTTGGATGCTTTTAGCCCGACCATGATCTTGCCCAAACCTTAAAATGTAGGTTCATATTGAACATTAAGAGACCTCTTTCTGATCTTTAAGATAATACTGTATGAGGTGAGTTTCTTAAAGGTACAGGCAAATAAACAAAAGGAGGGGAACTTTAACTAAAATGAATGTAACTTTGGAAGATGCTCTCTTGATTTGTCTGTCTCCGTCGGCTTCATACATTTTTTAAACGAGACTGTCCTCCTGTAAAAAATTGAGCTCATAGGTCGTCTGTGCAGCAAGTTCTTATGACTCATAGTTAGGTTTTGTTGCTAGGAGACATCTACTGGTCGTAGTAATTATGACAAGAGCAAAGGGAAAAGTGCAGTGACGTAGTTTAA